AGCTGTGGATTCAGAGATACAATGTAAGGCAAACAATGTCTAAATGTGGAGAGGTGGTGGAAAGTGGTACCAAGAATTGGTAAGGCTGTCCCTTTGCTTCACACCATGCAGCTGCCCATCATAGTTTCAGAGATTATCTCTTATAACTCTATTGATGCCTTGTTGGATGGGGTGGACATAAAGGTATTTCTGTTATTTATCATCATGCTAACTTGTACGAGACAAATGACCAGCAGTATGTTGTCAATGTATGAAAGTCATGGGCACATCCAAAACATCATGACAATGATGAGTCTACCCCTTGGATCTTATTCCCAGAGTAACCAAATCTTGACAGTGTACCTCACTGCTTCCTTGATACTCCCACTAAGTATCTAATAGTCATCTCACATTTAAACAAATTCACAGTGAGATTTCTGATTCTCTCTGATTCCCCAAACCCCACCCATCCCACAATTTTGCCAGCTCATTAAAGTCAACTCCATCCTCCCTTATACTCATACCAAAAACACTGCAGTTGTCCATAACCTCCTTGTTTCTCTCAAACCCATATCCAGTCTATGAACAAACACCCTTGTTTCTGTCCCTAAGGACTGTATACTCAGAATACAAATTCTTTTACCATCTTAATCATTGCTATCCTCATCCAAGATATTATCATTTCTTGCCTGGATTATTGCAACAGCCTTCTAATTGCATTGGCTCTTGCCCTCTTTCAATCTATTTGCAACACATCAAAGACACTTTTTGTAAACCATGTTTGATGATATTTCTCTACTCCAGTTCTTCAATGCTCTCAATGCGCTGAGAGTAAAAGCCACATTTCTTACAAAAGCCTGCATGATCCCATGTCTTGGAGCTTCACAATCATTCTTCTTTCCTCATTTTGCTCTAGACATACTGGCTTCTGCAATGCCCTACACACCAAGCATGACTATGCTACAGGGTATTTGCACTTACTGTTATTTTTCCTTCAAACACTCAGGGCTCAAATACGCCCATGGATTATTCACTCTCTTCCTGTAGGTCTCTTCTCAAATGTTAACTCATTGGAAAACTGACACTCCCTAACTTTTGCAGTTTTTCTTTGTAGCATGTAACTTCACCTGATACAGCATTCATACATCCACAGTACCTACCATAGTTTCAGGCACATAGTATTTATTCAGTAAACTTTTATCAAATGAGTTAATTCCCTCATCACAAGTGGAGAAAAATAAAGCCCTGGAAATCTTATCAAGTCTCAGCTTGTCACAGAAAACTACAGACTAAAGAGGTAGAAAGTAGTGTCCATACAACACAACATCAAAGAGAAGAGCTTTAGCTATTTGTTCTCAGGACTGTCCAGAGGCTGTTGAAGGACACTCAGTGGAAAAACAGACATCAGACATTCTTCACACGCTTCCTCTGTGCTAGTGATTTTTTTTCCTGAACACATAGAAGATTCAAACTTTATGAGGTAAAGACTACCATCATCTCCTTTTCAATAGTGACCAAGGACTTCCAAGGTACAGAAATATTAAATAACTTGTCCAAGGCACTTGGTCAGAAAGTGTCAGAGTTGGCATTGAAACTAAGGCAAGCAGGCTTAGGACCTTCTCTCTTAAATACTGTGATATATTTCATTGAATACTTTTGTGGTCAAGAGGACTCACACATTTCTCACTTCTGACTTAATAGAATTTCTGGAATTTCAAATCTAAGTAATTCGGAAATTATTGTGACTCTGCCCGCTAGGCCCTGGCACCACCCAGGATTCTGTAACACTGTAAAACTCACAATATGTGATGGGACAGACACCTCTATATCTTTTTTTCTTATTGAAGTACATTTGATTTACAATGTTGTGTTAGTTTCAGGTGTACAGCAAAGTGATTCAGTTATACATATATCTATATCTATATCTATATCTATATTTTAGATTCTTTTCCCTTATAGGTTATTACGAAATATTGAGTAGAGTTTCCTGTGTTATACAGTAGATCCTTTTTGGTAATCTATTTTACATATAGTAGTGTGTATATATTAATCCCAAACTCCTAATTTATCTCTCCTCCCAATGCTAAATAGATCAAGTCATGGACAGTCAACTTTAAAAAGATATTATTCTCAATAGGATGATTATACCCTTAGGCTATGAGCTTAAATGTCTTTGCGTAATCCATTTGTTGTAGAGTAAGACCAGGCCCATTTGTAAAGTTTTGACTTTAACCACTTTCAAATTAGAACTATTGCATTTCGAGAAATTCTGTGATTTACATCTTATACATTTTATAAGCCCAATAGAATATCCCATAGAATTAAGACACTTAATATTTATATGAGAGGTATAGATTTTTTACTCCTATAGTATTCAATATGCTGTAATATTAGTTTGTATTCACAGGTATATGTCGGTGTGGACAAATACCACAGATGCACGCTCACACACACACACACACAGTAGACACACATGCTTGCATTTCTCCTTGGAAATATCTGACAATGCATACAAGGTTAGATAATGTGTTTGCCATTGGAGTTTGGCCTTTGTGCTTGAAAATATATTTATTAGCTATGAGAAAAATTCCTGAATTCAACTTAAGAAAAGAAAAATCTCTTTAATTTTAGTTTATTCTCCCTTACTCTTAAAGATAGAAGACAAATGAAAGTTTATAGCATGATTTTCCCTATGACTAAACTGAGGTACAGAAAATTTCAATGGCTGTGCAAAAGGTATACTGTTACTAAGCAGCAAAGAAAGAACTTGATAGTTGGCGTGTTGCTTCCCAGTCTATTGCTTTGTGAATGTGCAGATCAAGAGAGCAGAGACAAGTATTTATCTTAAATAACCAAGCCGCAGGCTTCTTAGAAACAGATAAAGGTTCTTTATGGCTCCCAGGGGTCCTTTGTGTCACTATTATTGTGTCACATTATTTCTGACCCTTCTTTAATTTACTCACTTAATTTTTTGTATCTCTTTTTATATAAAATGAAACACTGACATTTCAAAAAATGATTGTATCAAATGATAGTATGTTTTGAATATAAATGTATATGTACAGACAGATAAATAGATAGACAAATAGATCTCATTATTTCTACTACATTGATAGACATTTAATATTCAAACTCAGAATCGACGTATCTGGGGAGAGGTGAGTCCAGGGGTAAACAGATGAAAATAAGCAGCCCTTTCCTTTTCACATCAAAAGTAGAAAAATCCAGTCTTTTCTCCTAATTTTTTTCTTGTTCTTTTGACAGCAGTCCATTTCCCATTATTTCAGGGCTGGTTGTTATACTAGTCTTTATTTTTTATATTCATAAACTGAGTTTTTATACTTTTCTCATAGAAAACACTTCACTCTGCTTCTTTTGTGGATTAACATTTAAAACAAAAGATGAACAAAGTAGGAAGTAGGCTCGTTTATACGCGATCCGTCCCAGTGTATTGGTGAGTATTCTAAGCTCTGAAGAGCTTTTAAGAAATATAAGCTCTTAATGCTAAGATCGCTATTGTGTTAACAAATACTTTTCTATAAACTCAAACTCCCCAGCTGTATGAAACATCACTTTATTTATTTTTTGGTTTTAAAAAAATTTATTGCAGTCAAGACATCTATCTTTTAAGATGATGCATTTTGAATACATAGTTGGGTTAAGCCTTATTACTTTGGTCTAATAAACAGAGAGATGAAAATTGAGCTGCTGGATGAAGCCCTAAAACTCTGACATTTGTGTCACTTGCCTCAGCCACCTGGTTGCCTACAAAGAGATCCTGACCTTTGTCACAAAAGCATTGCTGTGGGGATTAAATAACGAATAGCTGCAAGTGATTTTGAAGGGCAACTTGGGATGACTTTTGGGTGTTAGTTTACCCTGGGTGCCCAAAGAACAATCCAGTGCACTTGTACTGTGGCGTCAGACTTGACTCCTAGCAGGTAACCAATATGCTTTATTTTGATTATAGTAGGAGGCCAGGATTAATAACAATACTCACTTAAGGATGAAATTATATTCAGTCCAAATAATGGATGAACTTACAATTCTGGACTTTTCTTATTGTTCTCTTTCAAAGTAAAAAAGAGTTAGAGAAAGCCAAAAGATGTTCATTATTTTTTTTTAATTTTTATTTTACAAATGCCCAAGCAAAAGATTATTTTCTTGGGCTAGGGTTTTGTTATATTTTTTTCTTTAAAATGTGAAGAGCAAGTGCCTTATTAAATTAATTGAAAAGGCTGATGCAGTTTTTCAGTGTAGACTCCATAAGGTTTTGTCAGCAGATTGGGTATGAGTTATTGTATATGCAAAATGATATGGACAACTAATTATTTGAATGGTAAATATCAGTCAAATAATGAAACTGCTTTAAAATATACATCTTAAAATTTAAATAAATGTATTCACACCAGTATTTTTTTTTTATCTTCAATTGTAAGAGAAATTTGTTAACAGTGATTTATCCATTTTGTTGGAATATATTTGCCATACTTATTCTTGAAATAGGTTTCCATTATTCACAAGTAAAGATAATCCTGTCCATTCCCCACTGCCCATCCCCCCAGCCCAGGTTCTCATTATCTCACACCTGGGCTATTGTCTATTTCTCACCAATCTCTCCCCTTCGAATTCTTCCTAGACAACATATCCACTCTGTCTTTTATCATCCCATTTATGTGACCTCTCCCATTTTCTAGAGGATAGAGTTCAAAGCCCATATTCTTGCCGTGAAACCATTCTACATGCTCCCTTTCTTTATCCTCCTAATTTTATCTTTGCTTTTATTTTTCTACATAAAGCTTTTACTCCAGCCAAATGACTTTATTAATTAGTCCTCTTGTCCATTAATTCAATAACTATCTACTTTTTATCCACTCCATGTAAGATTGTGTTTCTTGTGTCTGTGATGATTCTGAAGGATGCAAGGCAGCAGCGCTCTGACCTGCTCAGCTATGAACATGCTCTCTCCAGTCAGGAGTTATTCACCTGCTCCTTTCCTAGTTTCACTTGA